TCAAAGCAACATTTTCTTCGTGGTTCACACTAGAGCTCACGGTTACACACTGAAATAAGGGTCATCTCATCCATCTTAGAATAATTCATATTCTATAGTGAACACAGTAGGTTTATCATCCCCTTCACAGATATGGCCCGTCATCAACACATGTACAGCCCACCCTAACGGAACAATGCAAAACCCTGTGGTTGAATAAATCATGACAGAGGGTGCACATTATTACCGGAGAACGGCAGGGTATGGACTCGTTACGATCATCTTCCTAGTGGCATGAAGGATGTCGACAATCTTCCATCACAAACAGGAAGACTACGTGACTGCCACCAGTTTTACAACCTTCCATCACAAAGCAGGAAGACTACGTGACTGCCACCAGTTTTACAACCTTCCATCACAAAGCAGGAAGACTACGTGACTGCCACCAGTTTTACAACCTTCCATCACAAAGCAGGAAGACTACGTCATGGTATGGGAGTTACAATCCAGTTGTAAGTCTATGTACAACCTTGGTATGGACTACGTTACAATCACCAGTTTAACAACCTTCCATGTCATGGTATGGGAGTTACAATCTCCAGTTTGTAAGTCTATGTCATGGTATGGGAGTTACAATCTCCAGTAAGTATCTATGTCATGGTATGGGAGTTACAATCTCCAGTTGTAAGTCTATGTCATGGTATGGGAGTTACAATCTCCAGTTGTAAGTCTATGTCATGGTATGGGAGTTACAATCTCCAGTTGTAAGTCTATGTCATGGTATGGGAGTTACAATCTCCAGTTGTAAGTCTATGTCATGGTATGGGAGTTACAATCTCCAGTTGTAAGTCTATGTCATGGTATGGGAGTTACAATCTCCAGTTGTAAGTCTATGTCATGGTATGGCAGTTACAATCTCACTGGCGGCTAACTTTTGTAAGTCTATGTCATGGTATGGGAGCTACAATCTCCAGTTGTAAGTCTATGTCATGGTATGGGAGTTACAATCTCCAGTTGTAAGTCTATGTCATGGTATGGGAGTTACAATCTCCAGTTGTAAGTCTATGTCATGGTATGGGAGCTACAATCTCCAGTTGTAAGTCTATGTCATGGTATGGGAGTTACAATCTCCAGTTGTAAGTCTATGTCATGGTATGGGAGTTACAATCTCCAGTTGTAAGTCTATGTCATGGTATGGGAGTTACAATCTCCAGTTGTAAGTCTATGTCATGGTATGGGAGTTACAATCGATAACCTGCTGAGCGCCTGTAGCGTTTGTCAATTAGCACTCATTGATGCGGGTCTCCAGTCACAGCATCCTATTGACCTGACATCCTTGCCTTTTATTTATTTAGAACATCAAAATAAACAAAAGGTATTTGTAGGTTTAGACATTGGTCTTGATGTAATGTGAGATGATAAAGGCAGGCGCTTGCCTACATATATGGTCTTAAAAGGCCGCCCAAAGTGTTCATTCTGAGCTGGATAGGTCTACCACATTCTGAAAGCTTCCATATTATTCTTAAGCTCAACATCATCTAAATATAGCCCACTCCCTGTACAGCACTGTTTTACAGTGAATTACAGCACCACATAACACCGTTATGTTTGACAAACAGCTGTGACCACAGAGCGTTCAGTATTATGCCTTCAGCATGTTTGCATTGTAATATCCCACAATCTTAACCTGAATTGTTGTTATCATACTAAGCTATTCCAAGGGCCACTTGCATGTTCTCATGTAATAAAGTAATAATCAGATAGGAAGATGCTATGAAGTTCCCATTGTGATTTCTTAGCTTCAGAGATTTTGAAGACATGTAAGAAAGTTCGCGGAAGAGTGATGTCTCTTGTTGTACGTTAAAAAAGCACATTAAATTTGATCTCCAACTATTTTATTGTTTCAATCATATTTGTCATAGAAGGCAACCTTGGATGACTGGGATGCCGTTTGGGGACATGAATATTTTACACAAAATCAGGAGTTGGTGTTTTGTCGAAATTTATAGGTTGTTTTTGTGAAGAGGGTTAGATTCCTCCAGTCACAGGAATTAACGACTGACTAATCTTGTAAAAGTTGTAAATGTCGGATTAGAAATTAGATTTACTAGCCCTAATGTCCGGTAGTAAAATAGAGCAAATATATGCATGAATTAGAGGACTTGGATAAATCTTCTTGAGATGAGCCTGTTCCAGATTTGGCATTGTGGGTAACTGTTAATATATTAAAAGCTCATTGTCGGAATCATACAATAAAATCAACATGAAATACATTGTCCATTTGTAAAAACAAAAATCAATAATGATAACATTCGTACTGGAGTAATCATGCATGACAGGTAATGCATGTACGCGTTTTAAAACAGAAACGCAAGGCAGGTAATGAGAAATTGGCTTTGGTTTTATCATGAAATATTCAGTGCAAAGACATTACAGTTCTCCACAATTTTCATAAAAAAGACTAACGCAGTGCAATCTTTCCTTCTGAGTACTTTTTCAAATATATTCAATTACTCAGGTTACATAATAATGCAAAGCAGAATACCTTTTCCACCTAAGTATGTGTCGAAATTGTTCTTGTCGATATAATATTTTTTTCCTATTCTTGCTCTATAAGTGATGTTGAAAGTATACGTTTTACGTTCCTCTTTACGTAACATAGACTTCTGTCAATAAACCAGACATGCTTGTGACCGATTAATATATCAGCAAATTCAGTAAATCTTCATACGTCTTAATGCATTTATTTGATATTGTACAGAAGATTAATCTTACCAGATATGGTCTACAGCCACAATTGTTATATCTCATATTTTGGCAGTCATTTCTACTCTAACAAGTAGGGCAACTGACAAGTGAGATATGACAGTTAAAACTGTATTGATTGTAATAATGAAGTATCAGTTTGCAAACACAAAAGTGGTTTTACGATTTTGTGGCGATGCAGAGGGGCTGAAGCTTTTATTCTTCGGCGATTTAAATTTCATTTATTCTATTTTATATGATTGTTTTCAACATTTATATTCTTGATTTTCTCATTGAAAAGATTAGGAGAAAGTGATTTTTTCCCATGCTAACCAGTCTGACACGTCTATGGGAAAGGTAATAGTTAGCATAAACAGTCAGTTCGTCAGAAAAAAACAAACATTATGAAAACTGTCACGCAATTCAACATCTGCAAATGTCAGTCAAATAAAAATACTTCTGTAAGACGTGTTCAAGTAGCAGCAATAATGTATAAACTAGATATAGCGTAACCCCGAAACGTAGCAATTAAAAATATATTTCATATGTGTTTTACAAGTGATAAATGTAAATTCGAAGTAATAAAACCTTGATTACTTTACTATAATGGTCTGGTTAGTTCCCATGAAGTAGAATTGTAAAAACACAGGAGTGTGCATGGGGGGATTACCTTCAAGGCCTGGTGATGTCGAACAAAGGCCATTCTATGTTTTTACAGGAACAAGGTTGATACGAAAAGTTTAACTGGTAAAGGAATGAAATAACTGATATTTGACATTTCATGACAATTTATTTGGTATCGCTACAACTAATCACAAGATGAAACATATGAAATATATCAAACATTGAACCAAACATTACAAAGTACAATTATATATTCTATAATATGTAAAATTCAGTTATGACATTGTTACTGTGTAACAAATTAATTATCAATATCGCTATAAAACACCCAGTAGTCACAATTCACACAATTCATATTACATACATTACTACAAGCTAGTTTCATGCCATGAGATACTCTAAGTAGTGTAACACATCAATGTCTCCACGCGCAAGTCTATGTTTCAGGGTGGACAGTTCTCTGTGGAGGTCTTGATACTTCTTTTTCTTTTGGGGCAGTCTCTGGCCGTCACTGTATTGAAACATTTTCAGTTCGTTAACTTCTTGCTCCAACAGGAATTTTATCATCGCGAAAACGGTGGGGCTGGCCTTTCCAACGATCGACTATAATCTGCCATCCCAACCCTCCAAGCTGTTGTGGGGCGGTGGGGTAGCCTAGAGGTTAAAGCGTTGGCTCGTCACGCCGAAGACCCGGGTTCGAATTCCCACATTGGTACAATGTGTGAAGCCCATTTCTGGTGTCCCCCGCCGTGATGTTGCTGGAATATTGCTAAAAGCGGCGTAAAACCAAACTCAGTCAGTCAGTCCAAGCTGTTGTTTGTTCTGGATCCGTCGGTATCATGATGGTTCCATTCTCGGAGGTCAGCCTCAACCCAGTTCGTGGTCTGTTGTCCTGGGGCATGTTTGCTAGGATTTACTGAAGATCAATTCTAACCCGGATTTTCACGGGTTGGTGCACGTCGTGAGCCGGTAGACTGTCTCTATCACGAGAGCTCCAAACCTTTGGTTGCTGCCTTTTCGAAATCTGAACTGAATAAAATGCAATGCTCATATTAATCAGGGGAGAAACGTTTCGATAATATAAGAATTAACTCTCTTCCGAACTCCTCACACAGGACTGTGATGTTTAAATATTATTTGAGGTGCTAATGACGTCACAGGTATAACTAAAATAGCATTCGGAATGAATTCGGAAATGGTATTTATTCGTATACCTGTGTGCATATGAACGTGCATGGTGCCTTAAGGAATGCTTTTGGTATCATTGTTTTTCACTCTCTTCATGTTCAGTTTTAACTGGATTATCCCTTTAATTATTTAGGAGATGATGTAATTCACGTAGTCAATAACAAATGTCAATTTTACAACTACAAGTCCGAAGTGCTGTATATGAGCGATATAGCTGAGCAAACATTACATGGAATTGTATTCCAGGTTTCAGCTCACCTGTCCATTAGTTGGGATATCTAAGCTTCAAGGCAGCAGGTGAACCATATCCTGGGTGCAGATGTTTGCCTTTTTGTCGAAATGTTCCGTCATGTTATACTGACAAGCATTCTTATGTAACATGTTTTTGTTGTGGTATTAAGCAGGTGCTTGTTCTGTGAATATGTATAAATGCAGCTACATTTCAACACTTTCCAGCACATGCAACATGAATGTATCAGGCATGATTTGCTTTACTCTGGTAGTGAGCCTTCTTCTGGCTCAGACCGAAGGACGGGCTTTCAATGTGAGTATACGTTCTGCGAATTGTTTTACTACAATTTGACAAGGGTATGATGGTGAAACTCCTGGAACAATCTTGAAACTTAATGTCAACTTTATGTCAACTTAGAGGATTCTGAAAAATATTGAAATATGTGTTTGCGTGTTAAGTAAGATGCCTTTCAGTTTTAAGTACGTTACTATAGTTTTATGTTCATTTAACACATGATGTCAAAAAGAGATGCAAGGTGCCTCCACAATTGATTTCCTCAGCGTTAATGTATGAAATGACCGCCTCCGTGGTGTAGTGGTTAGACTGTCCGACCGGAAAGCAGAAGATCGCTTTGTTATACAATCGTCAGTGTTTCAAAACTTGTGGAATCAACTCCCACAACACCTGGGATCTAACCACGACCTGGACTCATTCAAATCACAGCTAAAGACTCATTACTTCCGTGAAGCATACAACAACTAACTTTCCATCAGGGTCTCAGGCGCTGCAGAGCAGTTTATTTCTGGATATGGAGCTATATTAGTTTTCCATAGATAGATAGATAGATAGATATGTTGTTGTTCATATGTTATTAATGCACATGTTTAACATCGAATTTGTTATCTACACTCTTTTGAATATTAAATAAACAATTTAGATTTTTCAAAAACGTAGTTGGAATCAACAGGTGCCTAGTATAAGGCCAGTGCGAATATTAAGACTGGTTATGTCTATACACATATAAAGAAAGCATGTTTGGTTGGATTGACTAGGACATCAAACTCATTATTTATTCATTTTATGCCACAGAACGCTCAATCACGTGAGAAGCGACAAACAAGCAGTAAGTAAAAATGTTTATTCATGAGTTGTCTTCAACATCTTTTGTTTCAATGACGTATATATACTCTCCGTGTGCTGTATCTACCAATAACGTCCTAAACCATTGTATTACAGCTGCTTAAACAGCGCACTATTTAATAAAATTACTATTAACACGGAGGTTTTAATGTCAACTTGGTAAATGTTGTTCATCTTGGTCTTCTCTGAGTTGTCCACCATTATCAGCATGTAAGGTCTAATCACATTTCTTCTGCAGGTTGTGACGGAGGAACAAGGTATGACACTTTCGGGCCAATTTCCACCAACACTGAGGGTCAATACAGCAACAACGAGAACTGCTGCTGGGATTTCGCACCTGACATAGGAGGGACCACATTTAATATCACGTTCAACTTTGACACGTTTGAACTAGAAAGTAGTTCTACTTGTAGATATGATGCCCTTACTTTCTACACGGTAGATGGGCCTGAGAAGGAGTGTGGACTGAAGACGAACTTCACAAGGACATGTGAGTAGTATGTTTAAGGAAGTTCATATTTGCAAATGTAATGCTGAACGTAGGCGTAGAAATTAATAAAATATAAACAAACAGTAAGAGTCTGTGTTAGTGCTTCTATTCGTATAGTAGGTAATGTTACAAACTCGACTTTAAATGGTTGTTATTCAGCATTTGAGTGCATCGGATTGTTGAATGCATTTCATCCAATACAACCGATGAATAAATAAACAAGGTACTGAAAAAGCTTGGCTTTCATAGTTCTTGGTCTTGAGGTGACGATCCACAAACACTATGGCAAACTCGAAACTCATCTATTCAGAACCAAAATGATCTTAATGGTGCCTGGCATTCGGGATATCCTGGTATTTGCTAATTATCAGAGAAAGACTATCAACTAACACACACAAAATAACCAAAGCAAATATATATTAATTAGTACAATTTTTCTATTCTTTACATGGTCACCATCAAAACATGAATCCAATTTAGTTAACGGCAACAACCGAAATTTGATAGCGCAATGTTTGTCCAATGCAGTGGATCAATACTTTGGTTTTCGGTTGTTACATCTTTAAAGTTTATGCTGTGCACATTTTCAACTATTAAATATTTCAGTCACGGTGACAGAAAGTCCCTTCCAAGTGTGTTTCACCAGCGATAGCTCCGTTACCGGACAGGGTGTCAGTGGATCCTACAGCATAGCCGCAGGTGAGCAGAACAATCCATTGCAGTACATACACAGGCAAAAGAACAAACAGAATTCGTGTTAAACTTTTACTGCCACCAATTAAATGTCATTATATGAAAGGAATGGTAACGAGTAAAAACGAAATCCGCACATATGTAAATAAGCAACTGCACGAAAGGAAGTTCAAGAAGTGTGTCCACCTTGCACATTGATGCAGGCTTCATCAAGGAAACACAACTCTGATGAATAGGTCATGGGGAAGATCATTTATGGGGAAGAAGTAGAGTTTCTGTAGCGTTGTTGGAGGTTTTGATAACTTCGCAGACGTCACTTTGTTTCAGCTCAGACCTTTTCATTGGGTGGGAGCTAAGGGGATATTGCGGGACAGGGTAACACCTTAACATGGTTCTAATTAAAGGTCACATGCAACCAAAAAAAAACAAACATAATTAAAACACAATTATCACTTCTTCATGACATATAATATGCATTGCTGATTATGAAAAAACATATAAACAAAATTATAAGCGTATAATCGCAAATCAAAAGTGCAATATTTTGTACTTGGGTTTACCTCCCTCGAAACGAAGCAGCCGGGATACCGAACCCAGTCAGAGCGGGTTGGTGTGCACTCAAGTGTAACGGCTGGTTCATTAGCAGATGCCGTCTTCACGGCTCATTGTGTGTGTATATAGAGATGTTGGGTTTTGAAAATACATGCTCATTTTTTTGTGTATAACATTTTGCAATCAACAGACATCATAACATGTCATGTGTTCAAGTATCACACCTGCGTGTCTGTGTAATTACATAATGTGACAGAGACCGAACTCGGGCCATAAATCATTGCATTTTGTTTATGGTGTATAGCCTGATTGGTGTTAAGTTCAAATTGCATGTGGTCAGTGATCGCAGTTGTGTATTGAATATTGTCATTAGCAGACAGGCAGGCAGACACACAGGTGTCAATAAAACAAGACATTGAGTTTTGTCTGTGACAGCGACATATCTATATCACAGTTAGAAATCCTGTCAACGCTAAATAATGACATCGATTTTAAGCATCGAACTGAGAAAGTGACTCGGTAAGAAGAACGTGTGGTGAAATAGACAAATGAAATTATATAAACAGTTTATTTACTGTCATAACATATAAAAAGCTCGCGCCTGTGAGATATCAACAAAACATTAGGAAAATAGCTCACACCAAAGCCTTCACCGAGTATTCACCAGACAGCTAGCTTCCAAGTTGCGCGAACCTATTTCACTGCGCACGTGATATGAGCGCAGCCCAGCTGTTGAAACCCGTACTCCCCAGAAAAGTCGGGGGAAAATTAGTGAAATGTTTGAACTCCGATTTCGCGCGGTTTTTTTCATCGCGTTATTTTTCAACTTTATAAGTTGAATTTGCATTTTTGACGATTTGTTTCGGTAAGTCCATACCGAAAGGTATCAGAATCTGCAAAGTTGTGTTTTACGTTGCATGTGACCTTTAAGATACTGCTCTACAACTCGCGCAATGTCTTGTCATCCCTTATCGTAATGAAACGTGACTCAGGATCAGTCTGTTGCAAACACGATAAAGTAGTCATTTGCAAAACCTCGTCTGAATAGCATTCAGGTTCACCTCAACCAACATTATTGGCGTCCTTGCTGAAGCTGTTATAACGTCCCCGCCTCCAACACAATCCTCTTTTAGAACCTGACCTGTTGTAACGTTCACCTGTGTGTGACACGTATCCTGACTGAAGAAGGCATCATGACTCATTTTCCCCACCCACGTGAATTCTGAATTTCATAAATTATTATTTAATAATAGAACATGTGTCTATATAATCTATCATTATGTCTGGACACAATATATCTTAACTTCCAAGGGTGTTAGGCGACTAATCGGAACAGCCACCTAACCATGCATGGCTATGCACTGTTTTGCTGAAAACGTCGTCAAGGTTGCCAACTGGTGTTTCTATGAATTACCTTTGGTCTTTTGAAGTGCACATTTGCTGGTCGTTTTTCTCGATAATGTCATTCCTTTTTGCGTTCCTACTACCAATTTTTACCAACTCTGTTTGTTGTTCAAATAACTACATTCTAAAGATTAGCAGTTACTTTTGCCTCTGAATAAAGACATTTCATTTTCTTGTCATCAGCACTATTGGTAATAATTGAGAGGGGGTCAATTGTTCTATTGAATTCATTTCTTGTTGTGCCATAAATGTAGACTGTTTGAGCTGACATGAAGAATTTGGGTATAAAACGTGAAACACAACAATCACGTTCAGTGAGTCATGTGACCACCTCGGCGATAGTAGCCAGCTGTTCAGAGGCAGAGTGTCAGCACAGATCAGCATGAATCGACAGCATACGACAAGTATCTGAGCTAGACGACAACACACAGGACCTATCTTGACGCAGTTTAAACGTGCTCAACGTTTATGACAGGCATGTAAACACAACAGTTTCCACCAAAAGCGATGGAACAGGATTGTTGTTGCGCTTTGTCAGTAGCAAGGGCAGCATAATTTATTGGGGAGCATATTATGACAACGGGCGATATCAATTAAGAGGGATGTTTTGACCCCAGTCCTTTTGAAACTCCTGCAGCTACATGGTCCTGGACTGACATTTCAACATGACAACGCTACACCCCATACTTCAGTTTTGACACACCAATTGTTACATTAGGCTGGTGTTAATATCATCGACTTCCCCAGACTTGAACCCGATCGCACACATTAGCGATGAGCTGTGAAGATGAGTGCAACAGCAGATTCTCCTTCCCATAGAGAGTTGATGCAGCAGTCACGGAAGTCACACTGCTCATTGACTTCTTCTGTTTCACCAGTTTTATCAATGTTGAATTATAAAAGCTTGTTATTGAACGTCGCGCTCAGCAACATTCCAGCTTCATTAAGGGTGTCCGTAAGTAATCCAATCTTGACCAGACAATCCAGTGATTGACATCATCAGCATCGCTCTATGCAATTTGGATATGGTGACATGTGTCGACCTAGTCAGCGAGCTTGACCATCCTGTTAAGCCCCCTTTACGACACAGCATGGTTGCTGAAGACCAACTATAACCCGGATCTCCACGGGGCAGTGTGGAAGTTCACAAAGGGTGATGAAAGAACGCCATGCATCTGTCCAATAAAACAATGACGCATTCTACTTGTATTGGCCTGTATTGGTAGGAGGAAGATATTTTGTATTGTCATCCTGTTGCTGCTTATTGTTACTCACTCACTCACTATTTTCTTAGTAATGCACACATTACCTCATTATAGGATTTGATTTAAAAACTGTTAATTATATAATTTAGTTGAATATATCAGGCGGCTAGGATTCGCGTGTAATGTTGCTGACGAATCAGCAAAACAAACACGATCATGAACGAATACCATGGACTTATACGGCGGTCATTACCACTAACAGAAACAATAACACTGAACATCTTTTTTGCAGGTTCAAGAGGATCTACTACTCCAAGCTACTTCACAACTGACTATCCCGACTATTACTATAATTATTACCAAGATTACCTAACTACTCCATATCCCTACTACGTCTCTACTGACTATCCCAACTACGTCTCTACTGACTATCCGTACTACTATCCTACTGACTATCCTCAATATCCAACTACCAGCTATCCATATTATTATAATTACAACCAATATCCAGATTATGTAACTACTCCTTATCCCTACTATGGCCCTATTGACTATCCCTACAATTACCAATATCCAGATTACGTGTCAACTCCATATCCCTACTTTTTCCCCATTGACTATCCCCAATATCCCACTACCAGCTATCCCTATTATTATAATTACAACCAATATCCAGATTATGTAACTACTCCATATCCCTACTTTTTCCCTATTGACTATCCCTACAATTACCAATATCCAGATTATTTGTCAACTCCATATCCCTACTATCCAGCAACCATCGGTGGTATGTATTTTTCTTATCATTAAGCCAGATATCGTGCTTCAAAACACATATGTTCTTTCATTTATCGGCCTTCTTTTATAAGCACTTGAAGAGAAAAATTGTATTACTGTATTATTTGGCACTTTTTACTACGATTTCACCTGAATTTCTGATTCACCGTAAAACAGTGATGAAACCAGTTGTACCGAAGAAATCAGCTTCTCTTGTTCCACCTGTCATAACACGCCAGATATTACCAGGCTTGATTTATCAACGAAATACATTATTGTGGTTGTGGAACGATAAAACCTAAATGGACCACTGAAAATCGTTGTTGACACCAGGTGTTGGCAACAAGAGTAAGCATGTCTTGACCTACGGGTAGCCTCTTTCACTCACTCACTCACACAGAACACGACTCCAATATATGTAGTTGTTTCCTGACATCACACAGCAGCACTCCTGCCATGCATCGGCAGCATGTAACAAAACCAGACAATCAAGCGATGGACCAGAGCCACGCAATTTAGGGCAATTGCCGGCTTTGTTTAAACTTAAAAAGATAAGCTCAGTTTGATTTACTTCTTTACTGTGTAAGAGTTGACATATTCTTCTTCTTAGCAAAGAAGCGTTTATGCAATATATTCCTTTACCTCCCGCATTTACTCACTCACTCTCTACAACTATTTCTATTTCATTGTAATTGTTAGTGAAACAAATCCTGCATAAGTATAAGGAGCTGATGTTTTCACTTGTTGGTTTCAGTGGTTCCAATCCCCGAGGACGTACCTGGCTGTGATACTATCAGCGTAAACACTGATGGTGGGTAAGGTCAGGATAACCATAAATGTTGCCTAAACTATATTCGGTATGAAATCTTCGCATAAGACAAAATGAAAACTGGTTTGTTGCTAGCAGTATACCAGCACGTTTTCCTTGTGTTACTGATGATGGTCACGTATCTTCCAGCAGAATCAGGGCACAGCCAATCAACTTCAACAGCATTTCTGTTCTAACGTATGCTATATTTGGGATTACACTTTCTTAGCAAGAAACGTTGAAATTCAAGCAATTCTGTTTCTAAATCATATCTGTTCTTGGTTGGAATTTCAAACTGTTGACAGTTGTGACAAAATGTGAAATTAGTATGTATGCATCTTGTCCAGGCAACACTACATATTATGGTAACCATGGAAGCATCAGTATCAACGATGACGGTAGCTACGGCAACAGCGAGGACGCTTGTTTTTCACTTCATCCAAGCTTCTCAGGGTCGGGCATCATCACCTTTGTCTTCAACGTGTTTGACATTGAAGAGGCCACCGACTGTATATTTGACTATATCGAGTTTGATGACGGCAACACCAGACTGAGGGAATGTGGCTCTGTTGATATGGGGACCCAGAGAGAGTGTGAGTTATTGACTGACTTTGTTGTGGTTGATTACAAGGGTTCCATGGAGTACCTAAGTTAGTGCTTCATGTGTGAGATACCACGGGCTTGTAGTATTGGGAGACAGGATAGAGATATATCCTTATCTCTAAATGCTAATCAGCGTCACAAGACGATAGGAATATAGGGAGAAGAGGTCTAAATATGACTGAATGGTCGCATACGTTGTCATACAAATAACATTCCTTGGAATTGAAGCAGGTGCCGTTTCATTATAATTTGATTAAACAAAAACATAAGGAAGTTCATGAAATAGTTGTCGGTGCGTAATATCACAATCTCAAATATTTTAGCATTCCTATCGTATGTTGAGAAGTATTAACGGATGTCGCAGAGGGATATTCTAATCCTAACATTGATCGAACGCTTAGACTGCTCAACGTCAATCCAAGTCATGATACAGAACGTCAGTGCTAAAGGATACCCAATCTTGACTATCTTCAGAAACAAATTTCTTTTCGTGTCAAGAAAAATTAGCTGTGAAAATTATGTGAATAGATTACTTAAAATCACAGATGACACCAGGTGTTTCATAAACAGCTCTGGTGTTTGATAAAGAGTTCCCAAGAGTGATTGCCCACGATGTGTATGCATGTATCCTAAATAGTGGCGAAGAATTACTGAATTAGGTTCATTGCGGACATTGCGTCTGTGTTGCGTAATGTTTTGCTTTTGTACCTCCAGTTGAGTTCCACGACGGCCGTTTCAATGTGTGCTTCCACTCCGACGGATCAGTGACAGGACGGGGTTTCCAGGCCACGTATACCATGAATCCAGGTAAATACCTGACAAAGGAGGACGATGAATCATGGGTTTAAGACTTGTGGTAATCAGGAAGCTACATTCGGAATATGATTTCAAAGAAACACCCAGAGCACTCCTACAGCCTTAGGCAGTAAGTTGACAATAACGTACATTGGTTTCTAGTTGTTAGTGTTCTAATTATGTTAACATTTTGTTTGTCATACCTCGCAGTTCAAGAGGTTGACTCTGATGTGACTACATCCTTTCCAGTGTACATCTTTAACTCAACCATATCACCTAATTTTACGCTACCAGGTAGTACACGTTTTTCTGTCTTACTGTGAACTTAGTGCTCTTCAATCATTGTCCTCCTTGTGAACAAAATGTTTCCAAGAACTGAAATTTAACATTAAGCTGTGTAGTAAACATGTCACTTTCTATCATGTTAATGCTGTATATGCACGCCACCATTCGATATTGTTTCATTTCGGAAGCAGCATGACACTAGCCCAGACACTAGCCCAGACACTACACAAATAGCATGAGACGTGAGGCTGACAATAACGTACAACCAGAGTTCCTATGTACATACATCCATACCGACACTTTACCTTTGTCGTTGCTGTTCTTCATGTGTAATGCTATTGTCTATATCCAGTAGATCCTATCTTCAACTCAACGATGTCACCTAATTCCACACAGGCCACAACTCTACCAGGTACTCCACGTGTATTATGTAACTGAATGCAAGTTAACAACAGAAGTTTAAGACGTGTGTCAACCAAATCTTTCTTTAATTAGCGTAGTTCTTGTGTAAAATTGTTGTTGTCTCCGAAAAGTGAAATGTAACTATACAACGTGAAGTAACTACGGTTTTCTGTCATGTCAGTATTGCATTATAACTTAAACTTCACCAAAAACTCCTATTGTTCGAATGTAGTCTCGCTGTTGCTCATGCGTGTTATACTTCTGTGTGCTGGACAGTGAATACAACCGTGAACGCTACAGACGACGCAGATGGCGGTGAGTAAAAGTGGTCAAAACATAACTCCATTCAGATATCCTCCAGTGTACTAACAAGGAGAATGAGCCATAATTATTGAAAAGTAGTAACCAGTCAAGAGCGGAATGTCTGTATGGTGTAGAATGACATGTGTAGTATGAATAGCTTTCATTTCATCATTTAAATAGTGAGGGAATTAACATTTCACATCGTGTCGGCAATATTACAGTTATATTGCCATGAAAACAAGGTAATCATTTTAAAATATCTGTCGACGAAGAATAGTAAAATAGGTCGGTATATCACAGTTTTAAAATAAAACCAACCTGAAGGAAATTACGACACGAAAAAGACAGTAGATTCGATAGATTCATTCTTACAAGTTAAAACCAGGCAATAAACCACTAATAACCAAAGTTAGACCCCCTTACTTGGCACCTTTGAGTTTTTGCTTCATACATGATTTCCCAGTAGGATTTACGCCATCTCTTTGGTTATCAGTGGGTTATGCGAGCCAATATTTCAAATGCTCGGAACAATCAAGATTCTAAAACTCTAGACAATATTATATACTTGTTCAGTAATGGACTTATGTGTCACTGGAAGAAGAGCATTATTTTTACACTATTTTAACTCTCTTAGTGTCACTACCATCAATGATCTCAGTTGATGATAATATCAGTAAAATCCTTTACATATCGATATCACAATTTATCAGCATTTTAATAAAATCAAACCTTTTAAGATGCATTAGTTGGCAATCGTTCTGTTCCGAAATTTCAGACTGCAACCTCGATATTGATGATCTTGAGGGCACCTATACCCTGCCCACTGATTCCGAGGGACAATATGAAAACAACCAACACTGTGACATCACTATCCGCTCTCCCCTCACCCCTCACATCACCACTGTCAACTTTACCCGTTTTGACCTCGAGGACGATACGGGCTGCGACTATGACAGTTTAACTATAACAAGTGACGAGGGCACAGAGAACCTGTGTGGAACCGAAGAATCCTTTACCAGACAATGTAAGAGGTCTTGATGTGCTAAGTAACCTATAAATCTATGCTATAAACCAAAAGCTCTCATGGGAATGAACATCAACAACAGCCGCACTACTGTTCTCTATTGATACTAGGACATAGTCTAAGGGGAGAGAGAAGGTGTAGGTTTGGGAGATAATCCAACAATTATACATGCATCAACGCGTTTTAAGTAGCGACCATGTACACACATGTCAAACTGAAGAATACCATAACTGCAAGGGTTTTCTCAAGTGGTCAGCATGGAAGTGGATTATCCTTATCCTTAATTTTATATCGCTTTGTTACTACACAAACACTGATAATCAGAGACGGTTTCTCACGTTATGAATTGTGTGGAGCAAAAGAGTACTTCATCCGACAATGTAAGAAGTCTTGCTATGCTTTTTAACCTTTGAACGTAAGCTATAAGCCAGAAGCTCTCCTGATTATGAATGACTGACTATCTGAGTTTGGTTTTACGCCGCTTTTAGCAATATTCCAGCAATATCACGGCGGGGGACACCAGAAATGGGCTTCACTCATTGTACCCATGTGGGGATTCGAACCCGGGTCTTCGGCGTGACGAGCCAACGCTTTAACCACTAGACTACCACACCGCCCTCCTGATTATGAACACCAACATGACCCGCGCTAAGACTCTCAAGTGGTTCTGTGAATACAGGAGTGAATTATCCTCGAGGTGCACTTCTGGTGTACATCGCTTTCTGACTACGTAAACAAAGATGTTTGGAGAAATGTTGGTATCACCTTTTATACCTGTAACAAACCTGCTGTGTGCTGATACACATCCACTTACCTCACGCAGTTCTCTTGGTTCCAGCTCATGTCCACGTAAGTGGCGTAGTGTATGTCCCTCCCACGGCTTACATCAGCGGTGTTTGCTGTAGGAAAACACAACAACGTCTTAGATGTCTGTGTGGCATGTAATGACACATTTTGGAGCTGTAAATAATGTCTTCATGGGTCCCTTAAATATATACATTAAGCTGATCATTAAGTCTTAGTTCGAGGACATTCAGAGAGACTATGACAGTGACATGTTTCCCATACATTTTACTGTTTTGCAGACACCGGGCAATCAGTTGACATGACATTTACCAGTGACGGAAGTGTTGTGCGTAGCGGTTTCTCCTTTGACTATGTCACTGAAATAGGTACGTATGTTTGCATGCAATATCAGATATTCACATGTGCCATATCTCAGGGTTTTTTTCAGGTGTATTGTATCGGTTTGACATGGACAAGTGAAGATCCGGGTAGAATTGTTTTCCGCAACATATACTTACAGAAAACAGCAACGAACGAGTTTAAGTGATCAAGCATTTTGAATTGGGTGACGCACGTTATTGTGTTCCAGTTGTGAAGATCGATTCTCATGATGTCTGGATATGGATTGTCGAGATTCGATATTTTACAGACAACAGTCATGTAGCTGACATGTTGCTCATTGTGACGTTAAACAACAACAATGACATGTACTTAAACTCTTCGTGTTACGTGACTATTATTTCTGTTTCGCGTGTGCATCTCAGTTTTGTACGGATGTAAAAACACAAACAGTTTGCAAATAATTAGTCGTTGTTTTTCAAGAACCTCCTGATTTAACAATGCTCGATGAATCAATTCTTTATTTTTTCATGTTTCAGTCTACTGTAATGCAACTATTAACGCCCCATCCGGAACTTTTGAGTCACTACCCGGTGGCTACGAGAACAACATGTACTGCACCTACACCATCAACACCCCTGGTCCTGGAGAACTTGTCTTCAGCTTCCCACTGTTTGACGTTGAGTCAAGCAGCAGCTGCCGATACGACGCCGTGGACATGGAAGGAGACAAGCTGTGTGGAACAAACGTGGACGACAAGACCTACAGTGAGTAGTACACAGGGACGCACAAACACACACACCGTGCACTATAAGAATCAAGGTATGCCTCATCTTTTCTGGGGCACATGCTTTGAAGAATAGGGTTTATGTGCCACAAATGCCCATTTATATCTAATATTTGATAATTCAGGGAACAACATATCCTGTCGCAGTAACACTGTTGTGCCCGAAGACACATGTCTGTCTCATATCTCCAGAATCACATGTGACACATCAATATCTATCTTGACAGATACTCACACTCACGTGTGCTCGATCGTGTTCCTCGAGGTCGAAATGATTAGGCTTGGCTCCAGAATATGAAGCCAATGTTATCACTCTACTGGATAGCATAAGTATCACGAAACAGAACTTATTAGTTTCGTTTTTTGTTCTTAAGAAATTATTACCTTTATGGTGTCAGTAAGATATAAGTATGCTCCCACAGGTACTGATGGGCATTTCCAGATCGTCTTCACAAGCGACGGTTCCGTAACTCGTGATGGTTTCCGCATAAACTTCAACTTCACTCAGACCGATGTACCCACATCCCCACTTCCAACACTACCCGGTACTTTGAATACACACGGCCATGGACATAAACCAGGTTCTGGATCGTGGAGCGATAAGTAATATGAATGCCAGCTTTTCTTTGTACAAGGAATTGGCCACGTGCCCACCAGGGTTTGGGGTGGTATTGAATCAGCAGTAAAGTTTTGGGCCGTCTTATGAATCTGAAATATGCCCACCATGGCTTTGTGTCGTGCAAGGAATCGCCAATACGCCAACCAAGGTTTGGAGAAATGATTAAGCAATGTGGATACAGGAACTGGGCCGAAAACAGAATCAGCAATGTTTGGTTGTCACGAGAATATTTGTGGCTTATGTTTTTCGTTTCCGTCTTTGATTCATGATGACAACCAACGTGTTCTCACTGTCACATTGAGAAGATTGTTCTCATGTGGGATCGACACATATCTCAACAATTTATTGGATTTCTGTTTGTATCAAAGACGGTAAACAAAGAGACATACAAATACTTTGCTGTTTTCTCAATCCTCTATGTCATCACTGAAATGGATTTCACAGCTTGATAAGACTTCAAATAATAATGTGATATGATATTTGTTTTCATATTTGCACAAGTGCATGTTTCGCATTACTTTTCAGCAACAACCATTCCCCCTACCACTGAGCCTGGTGAGTCTTAGTTTGTCTTGGAGTGGCAGCGACTGCCTTGGTTCGTTTGTGTGTTCTTCCCGTCTGAGCCGCCATAAAGCTGGAATATTGCTGAGTGCGGCGTTAAACAACAATCAATCTCCCTGTTTGATAGCCAGGCAAATCATGTTCTAAAGCAACACTGAACCCATGACACATTTGATCTGACTTTGTCTGTTCACGAGTTCATAAATAGTCACCAATAATGATTTTCCTGATATATGTTCTTCTATGTCTGTACAAAATGTCTCCAAAATACTGCATGTATTATCAAGTGATAATCCAGACACGCCGTGATGTAACTGGAATACTGTTCAAAACAGCGTTAAACCCAGCACACTCACTGATGTAACAATTTCCGTCTGCTGTCTTTTAATGACAGAAACCTGCAACCAAGTCCTGACATCAGATAATGGCGCCCTAACAAGCCCCGGCAACGGCAGCTACGCCAACAACGAGAACTGTGTCACTGTTATCACAGGCCCCAATACACCATACACCTTGGTCGTCAGCTTCACAACGTTTGACCTCGAGTCCTCATCTAACTGTGGATACGACTATCTGGAGGTGGATACGGGCCTGAGTAGCAGCCTGAAGGGATGTGGATCAACCTGGAGGAACAGAACAGTGGAGTGTAAGTGTCACATGTATTTTAAGTTACATCTTATATTTCACTATTGTATTTAAAACTGTGTCATTCTTTCATTCAAAGCTACATATCATCCCGTTTATGTTCACAATTACAAAAGAATCAGTAAAAAGGAGAAGACAATACATATGTACGTCAGTTTGGGAATTGCATATTTACAAAATATTAACATTGTACGTTTCGTTATGAATGTTAGCAATGTCACATAACAACTTGTTAGTTGAGGTGGGTTGGTGTGATATGATTAAAGCTGTCACTAAATTTTCAGTATAGCCTAAGTTATATTCATAGTGAAAAACTTCCGGAAGATGCACAGGCTGTAGTCTGCGACATCAAAGCACTAAAACCAAAGACACGTGAAAAATGCATCTGGCGTTCATAAATTTCACTCTTGATAGCTTCCTATAAATTTCCATCATAAGGAGGAGATATATGTCAAACGCGCAAAGAGCGATGAAAACAAGTTAAGCATTATATGAAAGGTGTAAGTAACAAATGTTTTAGCTGCACCACTGAACTGCACTCTTAGTTATGTTTAATACAGCAATGTGCTGATTTTTAGACACGTCAAATGGAGGTAACGCCACAGTGACGTTTTCTTCTGACTCCAGTCAGACAGGATTGGGATACAGCGCCACCTACACCATCCAGCCAAGTAAGCTAAATCCACGTGTACTGGCATTAATTACGGATTATACCATTCTGTGACATTAAAGCCAAGTTCATCTGCAGGGTAAACACTTACCCAAAAGCAGAATCAGCAATAACAATCAATAAAGTGACAAGTGGTGTCTATACTTATGTTGATAAAGTTGGCTTCCTGATCAAATTCTTTAAAACAAATACCACTTAATTGCAAGGAAGGCACATTAAAAGTAGAAATCTACTGCTCAATAGCAACGACTTTGTGTGCAGTGTTTCCTTATTTCTGCCAAACAGGCGGTGTTCCTTCCTTGAATAATGGCGAATGTGCATACATCAACACCAACATCTCGGAGGGCGCTATCCAAAGTCTCCCGGGAACCGGCAGCAACTACCCCAACAACATGGACTGCTCGTATGTGTTCACTCGCAACACCCCCTTCTACCTGAACATCAACTTCACCGCCCTCGACACAGAGTCTTCAAGCAACTGCCGCTACGACTATGTCCAGGTTGGGGATGATAAATACTGTGGAAGTGATTTGCCCAACGCAACCAGAGGTATGCGTCTACAGAGAGCTATTAGCATTCTATATTAAAATATTTTGTATCAGTGGAGTTTGTGGCATTAAAATCAAAAGTATGTGTAGATATCACAATTGCAAAAGGACATACATGTATAAATGAATTTGTCAATGGAAACTGAAAATATTTGTCCGTATTTTCTTTACTACATTTTCATATTTTCTTGTGGCTCTGATATTATTTTGGCTTTCCTTCAGTGTCAGTACAAGGTGGATCAGCCATAATTCGCTTCAGAAGTGACATCACTGTTACAGGAAGGGGTTTTGTGGCTTTGTTCAGCATTGAAGAGAGTAAGTATTCCTTAGATCTATATTTCAACCATACTTATCCAAAGCTGGGTCTAAGTCACTGAAACAGCACAACACAGATTATCATAGAAACAGTCAACAACCCTCGTTTTATCAGCTTATACTTAATGCTACACGTGTCATTTTAATCATCTTTAGATATGAAACATTGTCTTTGTATCTCATAAAATAAGAAAGTAGTTCACATTTGCTTACAGATAAGGTACTTGTAAGTGAAGTGAACTATTTTACCATATTACCGCATACGCTCTATGGCAATATGTACAACCTTAAGAGACCAGCAGTCGATGTGGAGTTTTTCACGTCAGTAATACTATAGTCAGGAATAAGTGGGGATGTAACATATGCTGTATTTAGGATTACAAAAGGAATAGTGTATTAAATATTTATAAGACATCTCATGAGGGACAGAGATGAGGATTAAAGTTCGTATATCAGGTTCAAATTCAAGTATCAAAGGAAGAACTTTATTTTCTCATCGTGTTTCCTGTGACATTCCAGACTGCAACGTCGACAGTGATGACCTTGAGGGCACCTATACCCTGCCCACTGATTCCGAGGGACAATACGAAAACAACCAACACTGTGACATCACTATCCGCTCTCCCCCCACCCCTCACATCACCACTGTCAACTTTACCCGTTTTGACATCGAAGACGATGCGGGCTGCGACTATGACAGTGTGTCAGTGACAAGTGGCGGCACCACTGAGAAACTGTGTGGAGCTAAAGAGTCCTTCATCCGACAATGTAAGATAGTCTTGCAGTGCTGTGTAATTAACCTCAGCTAATATTTTTTCAAATACAACAAAATTCGACCGATTATGCTGTGTTATTAATGTACTTATCTTCATCTATTCTATTAGTTGATTAGTTGATGCTCATAGAGGGCATTTATGGAGAGTGACATATTCATAAGAGTGAAAACAGTTGTTTGGAGACTATATGTTTTACTGTTTTGCAGACAATGGGCCAACAGTTGACATGACCTTTACCAGTGACGCAAGTGTTGTGGGTAGCGGCTTCTCCTTTAACTATGTCACTGAACTAGGTACGTAACTTCATGTAATGTCAGTTTATACGTTCTTTATCTCAGTTTCCTTTCTGAAGTACCTCCGTTTCATGTCTGAATTGTTATTCCTTTTACTGCCCATTATCAAACAAAACTCTTTCTAGGTTACAATAATCCCTAATCACTTTTGCAAATCGCACTTATTCCAGTCTACTGCAATGCAACCATAAACGGCACCTCCGGTACCTTTGAGTCACAGCCTGGTGGCTACGACAGGAATATGTACTGCACCTACACCATCAACACCCCTGGTCCTGGAGAACTTGACTTCATCTTCCCACTGTTTGACGTTGAGAGAGGCACCAGCTGCCCATACGACGCCGTGGAGATGGGAGGAGACAGGCTGTGTGGAACAAACGTGGAAGACAAGACCTACAGTGAGTAGTACACACATATTACCCATAACGTTAATATGTGAAAACCAGTCTTTCTTCGCAGGAGAGTTTTTGTCGCATTTCATTACTGGACACATAGTGGGTTGTGTACATGTCCAAAGTGCGATATATAATCTGAACGGGACATTACGTCACTATGTTATAACTGACTGTTAAAGCTGAACACCACACGGTCATCTCATCTCTTTAACAATGAGGTGCTCTCAACACCTGTTTTCCCGTCCAGTATCTAAAGACGTCTCTTCAATTGGCGTGTGCTGATTTCATAGATAATCTGTAATTATCGAACGTTTACTTTATCCTTCTCTTTACGAAACAGATTTGCAATCTTTTCTTTGTATTATACCGATTCCACCACACACTGTTTTTTAATCGGTATTTCTATTTTCGCAGGTACTGATGGTCATTTCCAGTTCACCTTCACAAGCGATGGATCCGTAAATGGAGACGGTTTCAAGATAGACTTCGTCTTCCTCCCTGAAGAATTTCAGAACTAGGTAGCAGTGTAATCACATATTTTAGACAACATAAATATGTTTCCCATTAATCGGATCCTATACATCACCAGGGATCGTATATCCATAAGCCTACACTAGGTATCCCTTTAACCCCTGCCCATTGATGGTGCATTCTCAATTTACGCGCCTTCGACATTTTTCTGAACCAATAAAATAAAGAGTTATGGACAAAGGAAATAGGCGAGGGAGGTAACGTGTACTGCCCAGACACCAAAACCAGCGCTACTTGTGAAGGACATATAGGCATCCTCTCAGTCAAAAAGAATTTAAGGGATTTCTTTTGTGTGTTAATAAAGTTTTTCAATGTTGACCTTTCTTGCAAATGGAATCCATTGAACTGACAGTCACGTAGTTCACATCATCGCATTTGACAGTTAGGTTGGTTGGAAACTCGATATTTCGATTGGTAGGCCAGAGTGAGTAGTGTCTAAAAGTATACAGGGCAAATAATTTGAAATTGCATGAACCCAAGGAAGGCAGTCCCAAAGACAGACAGACAGACAGACAGACAGACAGACAGACAGACAGATTTTATTCAGTAATTAACATCAATCAATCAAATTTACCAATCAACATCAATTTTGAATACTGAGTATACCCATGTTATACTTTGCAGGGTAATAAGCAGGTGTTGCTGATTTAGTATTGCTAAAGGATGAAATTTATAATGTTGAATTCAAATATTATCAAAGAGATTTAAAAAATACTTTTGTGAAGTCCGTCTCCATGAAATGGCAACTATTTGGGAACGTTGGTTATGTGCATGTACAGGGACACAAAGCAACAGCATGGTCCAGATGTTTAGCCATCTTTCCAAAACATAAGAAAAAGATTTTCAACATCACATTCGGAGAAAGTTGGAACAAGTGTTATCTGCCTTGAGAGATCAAACGATATATCACCTGTTGACGTACCGAGAGAGAGATCGTTTTTTAAATCGAGCTCCCTCATCATAATTTCTTCTTCAACTTCCAGTTGCTTCATCCGAAATTCCCTCTCCTCCTGCTCAGTTTCAAATCTCAATAAATCTGCTTCAATTTTTTAAAGCTTCCATTTTCTCTTTCTTTCTCGCCTTCGATGTTTTTAAGCTGAATTTCCACGTGTAATTCCCTTAATACCAAAGTGCCACTCTTTTCCTAAATCAAGGCCAAAGGATCATCATCCTATATTTCGTCCTCAAACAGGAATGTGATCAAAATGTTCTTGACATCGGCATTAAGCAAGTTCAGACTTCCTGAGCATAGAAACCTCTTCCGTAGAAGGTTGGCTAATAATTTAACAACTGGCTTCTAAACCTGACTAAGATAAAAAAAATCAGTACACATCAATACAGCCTAAGCTGATCGTGCAGGGTATAATGATTACGACACATAATGCTGGTCTTCTTCAAACTTGAGAGATGCGAGGCAAGAATTAACTCCCCTTACCAGAAAAAGAGTGCTTGGAAATGTCAACAGATGCAATGCATTACCCTTGGGATATTGTTACACAATGAACAACACTGCCACATAACTAGGTACAAAGTCAGTCTGGCAGTTTTACATGTAGCATGTTTTGATGGCTTGTCTAGTTATCCATCTTCGTACAATTTGACCACACAGTACAATTACTGCCAGAGTAGGCATTGTATATCTCAGTCACAGAATAGACCCAATATCCACACATTCCCTACAAAGTAATGAAAGTTTCACGCTGCATTAACCCCTCACACATAGAATCTTGGATGAAGAAGGATTCCTTTACCATTGTCATCTTTTAAGTAATGAGAGTGGATTAATATCTTGCCCCAAGTAATGCTGGTAACTACCTCTGGTGTTATCAATGTACAATAGCTTCACAAAACCTATTTTGATTGTCTGAATGCGTGTGTAACCAGCGTAATCACATGTCCTACAATGTGCTTTCACTGCTTCTAATGCATGTTTGTTTTGGTTACAGACACGTGGACCATTTACCACCAGATGGAAAACATGCTCAATAAACAACTGCAATGAAAAACACATTGTATTTTTGTTTTCTTTGTATTAGAAGAGCGTAAAGCATTGTTTCCAGTTAATAATATTCGGGCAATCCGGGAATGGTCTCTTCCGCACGTGAGTCAGGGACAGGAGGATTCGATGCTCAAAAGGTGATTGTAGTACTAAAGTATTCATGACCCACATTTCATCTTAACAATGCATTACTAGAATAAAATCATAACAAAATATGCAATAGTATACAAAGTAGTATTGAAAACCCGACACGGATCAATAATATATCATACAACATAAGGGTCGGCGGGGACGTTCATACCCTGCAATGATGTAGCTGGAATATGGTTACAATGATGTGAAACTATCCTGTTCACTCATTCACTCACACAACATGAATCTTTACACAGATACGTTTGTATCACTGACTATATACCCATTTCAATGTAAAGGTAACAATGACACATTGCATCCACACAATGACACGTTGCATCCACACAATGACGTCAGTCTATCTACGTATTACACACCAATTGAGAAACTCGCTTACATTTGAAAAGTGGACAATCTCTGCACTAAAAGTACTAGAATCTGTACCTTACTGAGTTACCTCAAATATTGCATGTTATAGTTGACCACTTTCTAAATGGCATTGTGTATTCATTGTCGGCCGAAGGAGTCGTGCCAATTTACACTTGTCAGAGATGTACACACAGTACATGATCTATGCTATCAGTTGTCAGCCTTTATACTGTTTGAACGGTGACAGGCCGGGAAAGCCACATTTCAAAAATGACTATTGCCGGGAAGGCCACATTTCAATTACATGGCTGTAGCCGGTAAAGCCCCATTTCCAATAGATTCATTAATTAATGGATTACCGTAACCGGTAAAAGAGTGTCCCCATGTATAATATTGTTTTCACAAGAAACGAATAATCTTTCTTACTCACAAGCGTGGTGTTTAGCAAAACCGGTAAAAGACTTTCCCTATTTATGATTCTAGATCACATTGTATAATATTGTTTTCACAAGAAACTAATAATCTTTCCTACTCACAAGCACGTCGTTAAGCTTCTTCACTCAGAGTTTATTACTCAAAATGGAACCACCTCCGGTGGTACATGAGTACGTAAAATGGAATGCAGAATAAACAATGTATGCAAGAAGGTGACAGGAAATATACGCAATGATTACTGAAAACTTGAACATATACATTTGATAAATTTAGATAGGTGTTTGATTGTTGAAATTTTAGTACTTGACATCAAGTTTTTTTATATGTAGAGAGATTAGGAAAGGAACAAGAGCTATCTCCTAGGTGAGAGATGCGTTGTTGGCTAAAATATGAATGTCTTAAGATATAATGGAATTCATCCCCAGTTAACTGCGAGTTACAAAGGTTACATACTCTTTCTTTTCATGCGAGATTCGTCCATCTCCCACTTTCTATTGACAATTTATGGTCCACGATTGTAAAAAACTGGTCTTTCAGGATTGATTCAGTTTTTGATATGATCCAGGATTGAGTATAATGAAAGAGGTTTACAAATACAGCCGTATTTACAAAATATATGTTTCACATGATTTAGCCAGGGAGCATCATCCATAATTTAATCTAGAATCAAAGCTGCTAGTTTGTTGTTTAGATAAGAAAATTTCAATTTGAACCAATAAGTAATTAATAGTTAAGAGATTTGGAGCTGAATAGGTTGTCTTCCAAGTTCTCCATAAACCATAAAGTTCGGGGTGTTATATCTGAGACCGGTAGCTAATTTAAGGAATTTTAAATAAACACGTTCAATGACATCACAATGCCGGAAAAAGACTGTCCTTAGATTAAGATTAATCTAACTGATTAATCTAACAATAACCTAAAAGGATGGCACAATAAGGTAAAGAGATTTGTCCAGAAGTGCTACCCTAACATTTACGAGATAGTAAAGCTATTTTAGCGTGAGCAGTCTCTCACAGAAGTTGCTGTCCTGAGACTATCTGACCAGTGGACAGCACCTCCAGGAAGAAAGAAATACAGAACCATTGACGCTTGTATTGCATCACTGTAGACCAAACTTCTGAGCCAACACCTGAGTGACATACGGATCAAGTGGGTGACCTCCTTCATCTGCAGTAGGGGGTGTAAAACATAACGTTTTGGGATCTTACGCCATTTTATCTGTTTGTACACATGACAACAAACTAAACCATTACCATTATTATTATGTTTTACAGATTAAGATTTATTATTATTTTGTGATATTATTATTATATGTAATATACCTATTAGTATATTATGTTGTGCTAATTATAGAAACAAAACCTGTTGTGATCTGAACAAAATTATGATGAAACATGTCTTGTTTTGTTAAATACGGTAACGCGTTTGAATCACTAAGCATGTTTTGATATCATAGCCTGGAGCCACATTCCATGTTCACGCAACTGTAACTATTGCCGGGAGAGCCACATCAGTTTAGGCTATCTGTTTCGGAAAT